GATGTTCAAGTTGGTGCGATGAGAATTCGGGGCCTCCATCCGAGCGGAATGCTTTGACCTTGATGCCCTTTTGCCGTTCGGAGAAGGCAATGATTTCTTGCGGGTTGGCGGTCTGTTGAGAGGCGTCGGTGGAGCGCACGAATCCAACGATCTTGTAGCCGGTGCAGTCGTCGACGCACGCCGTGTAGTAGCGGCAACCACTGACCGATGCGAAGGTAGTGGTTCCTTCGTCTCCGATGCACTCACTCACCTGGCTTGTAGGTTCTTGTTTTGCGCATGCAACGGTGACTCGGTGCATCTTGGCGCTGGGGCAGTCCATGCATGATCGGGCAGTCCTAGTCCGGCTTTGTCGCACGTGCGAAGCGCTTCAACGGGTGAGTGGCCGATACGGTGGTGCCAAAACGGCAGTTTATCGGCGACAGTCGCGGCTGAGTTGGCCGATTCGTAGGTGAACACTCCTTCGAGGATGTACAAGCGCTGATTGTTAGCGCAGGCCACGGTCTTTGAACCCAGGAGGATGGTACACGCGTCACGCTGCAATTCCACGCGGATCTTGGGATTGGCGCGCACCAGAGCCGGAACAGACAACAGACTCGTTGTCATTCCCTTGATCAGCAGGACGTCGGTCAAGGTGAGTGTCGATGGGGTTTGTGTGCTGATGTTGATCTTACCCATAAGTGTTGCTGTGGTGACTCCGCCGTTGGTGACGATGACCTTGCGGCTGCATGGCGTCTTGGCGTACAAGTGGTCAGCGGTGCCCGTCATATGTGCCGAGGTACCAGAGTCGATCACGATGTGGTGTTCGATGGTACGTGCGTCGCAGTCTTCGACCGACAGTGTCATGTCGGCTGCGTCGTCACTGTCTTCTGAAAATGGTGCATCGGCATATCTTCGCTGCCGTCGCTAGGTTGTGGGGATGCGAGGGACGACTCGGTTTCGAACACTGGACTGGCTCAACTTCGTCTTCGCTTGAGGGTGCGGGTTCGGCGTCGGCTGAGGTGCCGATGGCATGGAGGTACATGTGTCGTCGCTGTGTGTCTCGGATGTTTTCTGTTGGTGCCGAGAATCGTAGGTTGGGGAAGAGGAATTCGCTGTCGGCGATATACGTCTCGTAGGCCAGGACTCCAAGCCACGGGTAATCCGTTGCAATCATCGTACATCTGAATCCAGAATTATGTTCTCCCCTGTATCAAAACTACACTACTGCTTTCGTCGTGTCAATCCGGTCCGCATCGAGCCACAGCGCTACTATTGGCTTACAACCGCATCTTCTCCCGTTCACGCATCTGTGGTGAGCTCCATGCTCGCTGTCGCGTCAAGACTCTGGACTGTCAAGTCCGTAACAGGGTTATTCGCACCGTGACCTTTCGCCCTCAAGATCATACAGTACCAACATAGGTTCGGATACTGGTGTCATAGTATCCGGAAATCCTAACGAGAAAACGAGCGCAATCCACTTGCTAGGTTCACGCTCAGGTGGCATTGAGATCTGACCGAGGCATGAAGCGATTCTTCCGCGTGAAGTCGGCTATGGCCATGCACAACCGTCGTCAGTACACCACCATGGGCCTTCTCATGGATGTTCCACCGGAATGCCTGAAAGTGGCCGAAGCAAAACCTCAATTGGCGCTGCCCCAATTGAACTCGTTCACGGAAATGTTTCGAAGTATGTCGCCGTACATCAACGTCCACCGCGGGACAAAGATGGTGATTCATCTGTGCGGGGGTCTCATTGAGTCGCCCGTGTTTTCCACGACCATGCAAGACATTGCGCTCTTAAACTCGTTTGGCATTCAGATCATTCTCGTGGCAGGGTCGCGGCCTCAGATCGATACTCGACTTGAACATCGCGACATTCCGAATGTAGTTAAGCGTGGCTACCGTGTCACGGACACTGACGTTCTGGCATGCGCTATGGACGCGGCTGGGTTTGTCCGCCTTAGCTACATGGAATTCAATGTTACGATGCACTTGGTGTAGGTCCGTCCGCTTTCGCATTGAAAGTGCGCTTGGACGAGGGATTTTGAACGCTCCAGGAGACAAGCAAGCCATCAGCATTTCCAGCGGCAACTACGTGCACGCCCAGCCCGTTGGCGTTCGAGGTGGGGTGGACTACAAGGTATTTGTCCGTGGTTGCTACCTGACCTCATTGCGACAATAGTTCAGTGGCGAGGTGCGCCGAGTCAATGACAAGAAGATCAGCGCGGCACTGGATGCCGGGGACATTGTTCTTTTGTCGGACATTGCATACAGTGCGTCCGGCGAGGTGTTCCACATCCTGTCCGAGCAAATTGCAGCCAAATGCGCCGTCCAGATGAACGCGGACAAACTCATTTTTCTCCACGACGGCGAAGTCATGGTCGATGTCCGCAACAATCAAGCTGTGCACACGCTCCTTATTCGTCAAGCCCAGCAGTACCTCGAATTGGCATCGCTGGACCCGAGGTACCGAATCGCCGTCGAAGCTAGCCTAGCTGATGTGTGTACTCGTCGTAGCATAAATCCCAACTTCATTTCGTACTTAAAGCATGCGACCAAGTCGTGCATCAGCGGCGTCAAGCGATCGCATCTGGTGTCGCGTCATACGGACGGCGCACTGTTGCAAGAACTGTTTACGCGTGATGGCGACGGAATTATGATTTCCAAAGAAATGTACGAAGGCGTGCGCATGGCGCGAAGCGCAGACATTCCCAGTACGCAGCCAATTTAGTACAAGTCCAGAGTCCATCCTCACCCACTTAGTGGGTGGTCGTCGTTGTGGCGCCGTTCTTGCGACTCATGCACGTGAGTAGGCATCATGCGGTTGATTCAACCCATGCTGGACGCAGACATCCTCGTGTCGCGGTCTCAAGAGCAAATCGAGTCAAACGTGCACATGTTCACCGTGGTCGAGCGTGACGGGGCCATCATTGCGTGTTGCACGTTGCAGCCATACGAGTCCAACTTTGCCGAAATGGCGTGTGTCGCCGTGGACCCAGCTTATCGCAAGCTCGGCAAGGTGCAGGAATAGTCGAGTTTGCTCCGTTGTTAATGGCAATTGATAGGGCAATGCGCTCCTTGGGTTTATCTTGCGCAAAGCTTCCGCAATGGGAGTCAAGTACCTCTTTGTGCTTACGACCCGCACGTCGCATTGGTTCATGGAGCGTGGGTTTGCGCCCGCCCAAGTGTCGGACCTGCCGCCCACAAAGCAGGCATCGATCGACCCGACGCGGCAATCCAAGGTGTATATCATGGACATCAGCAGTCGCCGCATGGTCGAAGAAAAGGAGCTATTGCTGTTATAACATGAATATTCCACACGTAAATAACATTTGATGGCCGAGTAAAGCATGACGCTGGGACTTGCCATGGAATGATATTGCAGGAACGCAAGGTCGACAAAGTCGCGAATGTCCTCAGCAGCCTCGTCGAGATCCGCGTCCAACTCGGACTGGAACGCGACTCCGCTCAACGCATGGAGGGCTTCGAATCGATGGCATTTGTTTGCGGTTTAATAAGTGTTGAGGATGAAATATTGAATCTGGCTTAGTCACGGCTTGTGCCGCGTGGTTGGGACAATAGTGTAGTGGAAGACACACCAGCCTAGTTGTGCGATTTACTGTTGCGCGCCGGTCCCCATGCTGTCTTGAACGCGTTGCATGGTCTTGCCAACTTGCAAATGGGCTTGCATGTATTTACCCACGCAGCGATCGACGCAGCTCATTTCGCCAACGTTCAATTCGGCGTCATGGAAGCGGTAATTGCACTTCTTGAAGCACACTTCTGCCATCTTGTTGAACAAGTCCGTGTACATTTCCATTTCTACTTTGGCCATTTGCATTTGTTGGTCCATGACCGGCGCGGCAGCGGGAGCGGGCTTGGCAAACATCGTGATCGCAAGTCTGGTGAGTGGTGCGTCGTCAAGTGCCAGTCCACCAAAGTGCACATATCGTATCCGAAAATCCGGATAAAATACCCCAATGCCCATTTATTCATTAACATAATTCTAGTATAACGTAAAATCCCACAAGGTCAGGCTTGCGCGAGTGTGGCGGGCGTCCGATATGCAACAGTTCTGGCTTGAGGAGGGTACGGACAGTGAAGAGCTGAGTGTAATTTCTTGTCCATTTGCAGCAGCCTTGGGTGTAGTTGGGGATGCAGCTGATCGTGGCCTCTTTCCTAGTCAACGGGAGTTTTTCACTACCCGTTGAAAGCATCGTGGCACAGTTCGGGCGGTGGCTGCGGCTTGCAGCCATACCTTGAGTATGGCATGACCATCAAGGAGCTGCAATCGATAAGTTATATCGTATGGAATTACCAGCGAGTGACACTTTGCTTCGACAACGCATTCTTGAGCTTGTGCAAAGGTGGACCAGCAATCTCGTGAATATGCTACTTCATTCGGTGCAATTGTGTTTGGAACTGCACATACGTTTTGGTAATGCAGAGTTGCGACTGGACCAACTCACGGAGGAAGCCACGACGGGATTGTTCGATATGCACGCTTCGACTAGTATTCAAACAGGTCGCTCGGTTTCGTGGGCGGCGCCTCCTGTGCTAGTTTTTCTTGTAGCGTTGGCAGGTATTGATTCAATTTGTAGTATGCTTGCAAGTACTTGCCGACGCATCGGTCGTCGCACGTGGACTCGCCCATGTCCAAGTCGCCTTCTCGAAAGCGATGGACGCACTTTTCAAAGCAGATCTGGCGCATCCTGTCCTGCATGTGCATGAGCGTGTCTGCCTCTTGCTTGACTGACTCCATGATTCTCTTCTGCTCCGCCGTCGCCTCGGCCGGTGCCACCCGCGTGGTCTGGAACCCAGGAAACATCTCGGTGCTTGTGGTGGAGTCGCCCAATGGTGAGTTCTCGTCGCAGATTGGTCCATTTTAAGCCAATTAAGACGTACTACGGATATTTTATCCGGAAATTTTATTGGGAAGCTGCAATTCTAAGCTTCAAGTGCATGGTGTCGACCGTTCTTGGGCACAAGGGGTGCCGCTGGATTGCCCTGGGCTGGACAGCGTTTATCGCCGAGAACCTGGTCCTGTCTGAGTTCAAGGAACACATTGTGGCTCAGTTTGGACAAGACAACTACCGGCTGACGTACTCGACGTTGTCGACGGCTGCGTGTGGGTCCATTGCGTATGGATACCTTGTGCATGGACGGCAAACTGGTCCGATGGTGACGTCATTGGCCAAGCGCTTCCCGCTGGCAGTATTTTCGGTGCAAGCGTTGGGGCTAGCTGGCATCGCGGCACTAGCGATGCCAAAGCTACAGATCCCATTTACTACAAACAATGACATCACGGCTGAAATGACTCCGTCGTCAACAAAGGAGACTGCAGTGCCAACCTTTTCGGTGCAATGCCCTGTGGACTTCAAGGCAGGCAAGGTCGACTTGAAGGAAATCACTCGCTACCCCATGCTGTTTTCGTTTGGACTGGCCACGCTCGGCACGAGCTTGGCATCTCCGTACTTGTCGCTGCGGCTCTTGGCAGGCTTTCCGATTGTGATGGCTGTCGTGGGCGGCTTGCATCAAGACCGTCGTCACCTGCGCTCGGGTGAACTGGACCAGGCTACGTATGAAAAGACTAGCTTGCTGCCGTTTGTCGCGCTGGCCCAACATGGCGGGTGGGAAGACCTGGCCGACAAGCTGCCATGGGTTAACATTGGAGTTGGTGTGGCATTCGCACTGGGGCTTGCTCGTCGCCGTATGGTCATGCTTAAGCCAGCATTGTTACCTTCAGGTGTGTCGTCCAAGCTACCTCCTCCTCTGGCATAGCTTTCCCCGTTGCATCATCAATGCACTTATACCAAAGCTTCTCATTTCTTGACAAGTTTATTTGGAGAGACTCGTTCGGCCATGTGCCATTAACATGACACCAACTAGCATTGACGTCGCTGCACTGTTCCTGCGATGCTTCACAATTCTAATTTATGCCATGCAAAGCCACTGCATGTTGCGCTGTCCTGACGTGACAAATCGCAGCAGCGTTGATTACGCTGATTCGACGAACGTGCTAGGACACATATTATTAACGTGGACGTGCTACCACCCGCCCATGAAGACCTCGACCACTGACAGTGGAGTGTTGTCCGACAGCACATCTTGCCGATGGCAGGCCGAGCCAGAGAATCCAGTCGCGCAACGACACTTTCCTGTTTGAAAATAGCACACGCCACGGTTCGAACACTCGACAAAGCACTTGTTGCCCGCGACCCCGACGCCGACACCCCCCGGTGCTGGCACTCCAGAGCAATCTGTTTCGTCCTGGGGAGTGAGTGGGTCATTTCCGCTCGGGCAGTGGCCTGTTACGAGCAAAATCATTCCTCCAGCACACTCAAACAATCGAAAGAAAACGTACGCAAAGAGCAATCTGCTCCAAACCACTCGGCCACTCGTGTCTCGCCTGCGCCCAGGCCCACGGGCCATGACGAGTCACAGACGCAGCCGAATATTCTGTTGGCATCCCACGCCTGCAGAGTCAACCCATTTCATTCGATCAGCACTGAGGTCGTGCATGTGCATGTCGAACCGTGTGTGTTGTTGGAGTGGACAGCGGCAGCGCCGACGTACTCCTGGACCATTCGCTGATACTCATACATCGGCCATGTCCCGAACAGTTTTTGGGGCAGGACGCTAGAGCAAAGCATGAGTTCTGAGCTCATTGCAGACACATGGATTCGGCTTCGTACTTCGCTGGCACGCACTACCTTCGTATCCCGGGACGCATTGACACAAACCACTCGTGCGATTGCAAAGCCCACGCCCCGAGCATTCGAGCACAGTTTGGTGGGCGAGAGATTTTGACGTTGGGACATCTGACCATGCTAAATCCGACGGACACGTTCCTATTCATGCACAGCACATGAAATCCCGCAACGGACAATGGCGGGTTGGCGTACGAAGGGAGCAATCGGGGGCTTTATAGTCGGTCACATCAGTCGATGCACCAAAGCCAGGATGGCAAACGCACGTGCTGCTCATGAGGGTACAGTCGCCGTGGCCGCTGCAGTCATTCAAGAATCTGCACCCAACGCCCCCGATGTTGGCGCTTTCTTCCAGGATATTGTTGTAGCTATCGAACGTTCGCACGATGTACGATCCTGTTGCGTGCAGAGGTGGCGTTCGAACCCCGTTCAGCGTGAATCGAACGCCGTTTTGCGAAGCCACGGGGGTTCCCGCAATCGTGATAGTCAACGTCTGCCCGCTGATTACCGCCGTACTCATGCCGTTAATTCCGCTGTTGTAGGCAACAATCGTGGACCCGGAAGGGTTGAGGTCGTAGCCTGACGGAAACGTGGCCGTGATGCTTCCCCCGACAGGAATTGGCGTCATCAAGTTGAGCAGGACGTAAGCAGACGTGATTGTGTTTGGCGTCGTCGCAGTCGTCCGAACACGGGCAAACCGAAGATGCGATTTGATGATAGGCACACCGGGCAACGAAACTCTCTGATATACTTTGGCGTCCATGTCCAGCGTCGACACGATGATATCTTCCCAAGCTGTCAGACACGCCTCGTCATAGAACTCATTGCATGATGTCCCGGGGTTCGTGATGCCCTGAAGAGTGTAGTTGTACGTCCCAGGAACCAGAGCAAACGTGTTGATGTAGATCGAGACCTACGTGGGCTTGTTATCATCTTGAAAATCCTTCGAGGCGGCTGCTGTATGCGTACGTTATTGCCCACGGCTGAGACGGTGTATGTGGTTGCGCCAAACCCGGTGGTATCCAGCACGATCGGTGACAACACAGCATACCGCGCTGGAAACGTCGCCCGAAGGATCGACCCCACGGGCAACGTCACCAATGTTGTGAACATAAACTTCCACGGTTCGTTGGAGCCTGCCGTTGAATTGCTTGACAACGCAGCGAGAAGGGCCGGGTTGGACGAGATTGCCGTGCCAGCGACTGAGGCAGCTTCGAGCAAAACTCCGGCAGCATCATACGTCGACACATTAAACATTAAGGTGGTGCCAACTCCTACATTTGCACGTCATCGTGCAGTGACTTGGTAAATCAAGGGACTGACGAACGAACCTGGGTTAAAGACTCCGTCGAGTGTGAACGACACAACACCGACTGCGACGGCAGCCGTAGCTATGGTAATGCGAGGCACGACTCCAACTATCGAGAGCGCAGACGACGCATCAATGCCCACTGGAGACATGAACGCTGTTGGTTTGACGGTAAACCCCGAAGGAAATGTCATGCGAATCGAGCCCCCGACGGGAACTACGATGGTTGTCGTCAACGACACATCCACGGATGTCTGTGCTCCTGCCACCGAGCTTTGAAGCGTCACAGTAGCAGTCGACGCGGCCACCGAGCTCAAACAAACCATACAAACGAACCACAGCGTTCGTAGCCATGGCACTTGCATCCCGTCGGCAGTTCTTGACGAGCGGTGTTCAAGTGTATCCTTCCGTGTCGGTTTGTTTACCGTACTTTAACGAAACGGTACCAATGAAATCGGACTTAGTGTGTCCTTGTCCCAGCGTTTGGCTTATGTCCCAGGGTCGCGAGAAGCGGCGGCGCGGCGCCACAAGGCAAGGCGCTCAAACAGGCGTGGCATCCACCAGGACAGCGCTTGGGTAGTAGTAGGATCTGCACATCGTGCTTTAGGTTCTTCCGAACTTCGTCGTCCTACGTCTTGGTAACCCGACTTCTGACCGAAAGACGAGCGTCGTAGTAGCAACTGCAGTTTAGGGAACACTAAAACCTTCCTAAGGGGCATTTCCCGGCAACGACTCTTGGAGAGACTTGGTTCCCCAAGGGTTGCCGGCAGGGCGGGACGTGGGAGCAGCCGGGGCGGGCGCAGCTGCAGCAGGTTGTCCCCATGGGTTGCCAGCCGGACGAGGGGGCTGACGCGCTGTCGAGATGGGGGTTGGGACAGGAGTGTTTGAACGTGCCTTCAAGCCTCGGAATTGGGCTTGAATTTTCGTCGCTGCCTAAACAGTGTGCAGGGGTTAGCCACACGAGGTAGCTATACAAGAATGTACTTGTTCTTCGGTCAGGGGGCACGCATCAGGGAACGACGATCCAATCTTGGCGCGGTCGCCACGCCCGATGGAGAAGCACTTGATAATGGCGCGGTAGGGCCCCAATTGCACTTCGTTCGCTTCTTCGCCGTTTAAAAAGCACAGCGTGTACAAGGCCATTTCGAATTCCGGGCTCACGCCGATCAAGCTACTCCAAACCATGATTCAAACCAACTCATGCGATACCTCAAGAAGGATGGATGCAGCACCTGGTCGAGACAGGCTTGGTTTCTTTTTCCCACGCGAATTGGATGGTCACGAGTTGTTCGTACTCGTCGGGCTCCAACGTCGATCGTCCACGTTGCTTGGGCTTGATGTACCCCAAGTAGTCGAGACGACCCGCTTTCTCTTCCAAGTACATTTGGATCCAGTTGTGGAACCCCGACACTTGGCCGTCCTTGACTTCTCCGATGAAGACATGTTCGAACCCAGAACTGTCATTGGCAACTTCGCGGCGGTACAGACCGAACCAAATGTCGTGCATCTTGCGCTTGAACGCACGCAGGTCGCCTTTGAACTTGCCGTTCTTTTCCAACCATCTACGTCATCGGATTAAACCAGGTCATCACGAGACAGAGTCGAGCCGTACGCATGCGCGTATTTGATCACTTTGGTTTCAGCGATCGCGTCAATGAACTCTTCGTTCTCCTTGAGCTCTTCGCGGGTCACGGTTTCTGCCACACCAGTCTACGTTGTCCACGTGAGACCGTGATCACGTCCACCGATCGAAGGACGTACACCGCGCTCGTAGTTGTCGAGCAATGCCGTGAACAACTTGAACGTTTTCTTGTTGAACACTTCCGCGTTGACATACGTGAAGAGGTTGTCTGGGGCGACGTCGCCAGTTTGGTACGGGCTCTTGCCACGTTGCAAGTTGATCTGGTAGTGTTCGTTCGGGTTGAGGCGGTTTTCGTCGAGTTCCCAGAGGCGGTTGCACGCATCGGACAAGCTCTTGAGTTCAGCAGCTACATCACATCAGGATACCATAGCGACCAGCGAGTAAGGTTCATACAAGTGGGCAGGACAAAGGCCATGGTTCAGGCTCGGGGCAGGCGCTAAATTGCGAAGTGATCGAGTTGACGCGCAGCCGCCTGACGGCCACCTTGCCACTCTCCCGACGGCCGATTAAGCCAATCACAAATGATCGCGATGAGATGTACGTACGACTTGGGCTTTATACTACGTGAAAATGAGAAAGTCGTACATACAGCTCGCTTGAACACGTACATTGACGTACTAGGGATTTTCCTTTGTTGTAGGTGAGATACATAGCACCAGAAGCTGAAGAATATCTGTGGGATGTGTTCACGAACGACCTGCGGCGTGTGCCACAAGCCAACGTGGTGAGTGTAGCTTGGATCGATGACGCTTTGACGCACACAACCACTTGCTCTTGGCCAGGACCGGATGTGGTATGCACATTGAAAGCGCGCTGCGAGGTATATGACACCCACGTTCTAGTATTTAATGCTCATGTCGAGCGTGTACGAAGGCGTTCCGGAAGATGCGCGTTGCCCCGAGTACCTGACCGGCAAACACAAGAGCAGCGTCATGCAGCCTCTCGTATTTGTCGCCATCCTAGTGGGCATCTATTTCTTCCTTCGCAACCGCTCGGACACTACAGGACTGACCCGGGAATAATGATGAGCTTTGGCCGTTGATTCGAATGAGCTGTCGGTAGTCGATTGATGCACCACACACTTGGACTTCGGGCCCAATTGGATAAATGGAACTTACTAAACTGGGCATTAGAGTCGCTGTTGCAGGCGATCGTAGGTCGGTGCATGAAGTTTGTTGTCCTCGGCCAGCACTACAATTCGACGCCGCGTGCATCCGTGAACCCTCTTGACGTGGTTGTGTGCGATGTATGGCCCTGAATGCGATGATTGTCTTGGGTTTTCGAGGGGATCATGTCGCGAACTTGGCGCAGTGCGCTATGAGGAAGTGTGCAGGAGGTACAATCCGGCAACTCTTCCAGTCGTTTTCGGATGAAGAGTTAATTGAGTCTTCACGCTGTCATCCATACCGAGTCAAAAGAAATGAGTGCAACGTAGAACTCGGCGCGTGGAAATGGAGAATCGATCGATTGCTCCAAGAGATCGAGCATGCGATGTCTCAAGGTGTCGGTGCAGCCATCGAGCCACGCATAGGCTGTTTTGAAATCATCCGTCCAACTGAGCTGCTCAAATGTTTCAGCAAGTGCAATTACCGACACATTGGCACTTCCACGAGTTGCAGACGTCGGCTTAGTTCGTACCTAATGAGTGGGCATTCGCACCACTGTCGTCGCGATTGTTGTAAACCTTGTCGTCATCGTGACTTATTTGTCATGCCGCATCGTTGTGTGCGTTCATTTGCCATTCGAATGGTCCCCTGCATCGATGCGGTTTTCGTTTATCTGCGTCGTCACCAGTGTTGCCATGCGCAACAGTGAACGAGACGAGTGCAAGATTCAATTTGAACTCCAAACAATACTTGCAATTCTTGCTGCCTTGTGAAACTATGTTTGCCCAGACGGTTTGTCCGCAAATAAAGCAAATGCGGTGAGGTGGGCTGTGGAAGGCAGCGTCATGTCTCGACTCGACATGATGTGCGTTCGTATTTCAAAGCGTAGAGGCTCGATTAGGAGGCGACAGCTCAATGCTCCGTTTACAACTCACAGTGGACACGCTGGCCGGATCCTTGCGTGCATCGGTTTGCATACGCTGTTGGAGTTTGTCGAGGCAAACCGTTCTCGATGTGTAGCCAAGCACGTTGCACCACAGATTTTCATTCATGGCGCCAGGTATTAACAACAGCGACGGGACGCGTAACATGGCCACAGGGCCATCCACGTGAACTGCAGCCATTACGCTTGTCAGCATGTGAATCACTGTCGAGTCGAACCACACGAGGCATTGTACCAAGAGTCCCCCGTCACAGGGCCAACCGAGTAAACTGCAGTCATTATTCCGTTCAGCATGTGAATCACTGTCGAGTCGAACCACACGAGGTTGTCGCGGCATTGTAGCAAAGCATCTCGTGCATATACCTACCCGTCTTGGAGCTGCGAGTAGCGATGGAGTATGACCCGCAGTCTATTGACGTGGCGCGGAACGCCCAAAACGGCACCGCTTGGGCTGGTTTGCCTTTGCCTTTCATGGCGCGTTCGATTCTTGGGGCGTAACATTACGACACAAATATCACAAAAGGTCGATTCGCAGAACCTCTGGACGCATTGGCAACGACGGTGGCGACGTAATCACCCAAATTCGGAGATGTGTCAAACTTGTATCCTGGCCGGGAAATATCGGTGATGAAGAGGGCATGGGAGACACCGAGCTAATCAAGACGGATCGCCAAGGCAGTAGCACATCGGTGTCGATTCTATCCATCGGAGGATTGGATACATGCGCCGCAACCGTGATCGTCATCCCGCTGTATGCAGTTTCTTTCCATACAGCTTCGCTTCTGACTAATCAAACGTTTACCACAAGTAGGCTGAACAAACACCGTATATACATCATTAGGGGATGGCCCACGTCGGCGTCCAAACGATCGACGTCTTAAAATAGGAATTCAACGTATCAAGCGACTGCTGGCGCGTAGGATCCTCCAAGTGCACAACGCATTTGCCTCACCGCCGTCAGTTCGACTGTGGTGGGGTCTGGCCAAAGTTGTTGCTGGAATTCAGCACATCAGCTGCAGGGCGTATCAGCATATTCAAAGACAGATAGTATCTATCGCCGTGCCAAGCAAGCACGGTTGAATTGGCCGATCATGGATCTACCTGTGCTGGCAGGGTCTGGTGGTATAGCATGCTGTGCTGGATTGCTGATGCAGGTCATTTCAGATTTGTGACCTGTGACTTTCGATTCCAGCGCAGAAAGACGTGACAGGCGTTCTGTCAAAACGGATACATGGCTACACAGAGCGGAGCGGTATTTGGCGAAACGATTGACAAAATAAGAGTACCAATTTGGTGATGGCCCAATGGGAACCATTGGCTGGTGGTAGCAAAAGGCCGATTGACAGAGTCAGCACCTGTGTTAATTGGCTCACAAACCCGGCACACCCAATCCATCGAAACCCATGCTGCGGCTGTCCATGCAGGCGGTGCTGCGCTCAAGCAGCCTTCCAAAGAACTCGCTTCTGCATCCACATCACTCATTCAGTGCGTCACCGTTGCTTCTGCGTACCGTGTCGACAATCGTCCCAGTGCACACGACGCCTCGTAAGAAGAAACGAAAGGGAAACCAGCAAAATGTCGCCAAGTCGCCGGCACACGACAACGCACCCAATCAGCCCGCAATGAAGGCTAACACAACAGCTTTGGACAGCATCGCCCAGGATCAGGCCCAAGATGCCACCGGCGACGACTTGGCTGTGTCTTTTAAATCCGCATCAACGACGCCGTTTGCCGAAAGCGCTAAACCTGCCTCTGCAACGTCGCCTTCGAAACGTAGCGACAACCAAGCGGCGGCTTCTACAGACCTGGTTGTGAGTGGCCAAAAGAGTAAAAACGAGGGCAAGAAGCAAGCACTCCCTCCCACCAAGCCAGCGGTATCGCCGTTGGTGGAAGAAGCTCAGGTAGTCATTGGCCTGCTGGAGGACATTGCTCAGCGACAACGCGCGCTGCCGTCAGCTGCACATGTGACGACCATGCTGAACTATACATCGCGCGAGCACGAAGACACATTTTTCAAGCTTTTTGAGCTGTACCGAAAGCACGGCAACCCAAACGTGGACTCGACATTCCTCGTGCCAGGAGTCGTGAAGTCTTGCGAAGTCGGCAACTCGAAGCAAGCTGTGGCCATCGCGATGGACATGGTGAACAATGGTGCGTATCTCTATTCCATTTCTGGATCGCCCATTCCTCAATTCTTGCACGCTGCTTTGCTCAATAATGGTATTCCATTCTCACTCTGTCTTTCGACTGCATTCATCAGGCCGAAAAGTTGACCGCCATACACTGCACTTGATCCTGCGGACCGCCGAATCCAACAATGCGGCAGCGGATGCACTGAGTGTGCTGGATTTGCTCCTTCAAGAAGGCCATTTGGTCACGACCCAAGATTACCAGCGTATCCTGGCGATCTGTACTGCTGACCACCACGAAGACGGGGCTCTGCGCATTTTGCAAGCTCTGCGCCCATTGACCAACATTGCTTCGGACACGTATTTACATTGGCTCTCGCGGTCCGCCATGGTCTGGCGTGCGGACATCTTTTTGGCATTGCTACAGGAAATGCGGTTGGCAAGTACGTTGTGTGATGGTATGTTGTGGTGGACTTGACCTGGCCTTAGACATCGAGCCGCGCATTCCATCGTTGACTTCGCTGGAAGTGGGCCGTAAAGATCCTGCGTTGACCGTTATGGAGGGTGTCCGCGCTGTTGGTCTTGACCCTTGCTTTGCCATGTCGGCCGTGTACGAGTCGATTGCGAAAGCCATCGGGAAGGATCGCCGGGACGGGGGCGTCACTCGCAGACAGCGGGAAGCCGCGTTGGAAAAGTACAATTTCCCCTTTTAGTCGCGTCCTCCAACCCTTGATGGTCGGTCCTGACGATGTGGACAGGTTTGGGACATTGCGGGTGCACAAACTGGATTGGGAAGTGCAGCCGATTCCGCAGCTTTTGGAAACCCAAGCTGCGGGCCTGCTCCTCAAGAAAGAAACTTTCCAGCGTCTCAAGTACCAGCAAGTGACCCGGGTGGAGTCGTACTTGAACATGCTTCCTATCACGACCAACGTGACGTTGAACCTGCGCAAGCAACTCCTTCGAATGTCGTTGCTTGTCAACACACATCGCGTCAAGCGCAACAAGTACTTGATCCTGGGCGAATACGAACGTGGCAAATCGCTCATTGAGTTGAGCACCCACCACAACTACCCACCCGTGTCGCTCATGCGGATTATTCTCGAAGCCCGTGGCCTCAGCCCTCGAGCCATCAAGGTTCTGACGCTCAATCTCTACTCTTTTGGGCTAAACGCCCGTGATGGATCTGTAGAATGCGTTGGCGGCTCCTGGCGACCTCACCCCCCGCGACAACAACGAATTGAACCGTGCCAAGCTGAATGACTCGATTCATCGCAACGACCCGCTCCTGGACTTGCCTGACTACACTTCGTCTTCACTCGAAACCACGTTGATGCACTACATTATCTCCAAGGGCATCCGCGTCAAGTACACATTGATTCTATGCGATGCCATTTGACTTATCCTTTGTGGCTTATAGAACGCAAGCGGAATTGGCCATCGACCAAGAAAAGATTTATGGCAGGCCGGTGATTTCCCCGGATTTGCTTTTGCTGGACCCAGTCCTGATCAACGGTGTTCCCGTTCGTTGGATCGATGCCAAGAATTACTACGGCGCTCACATTGTGAACAAGCGCTTGATTGCCAAGCAGGTGAGTTGAATCTGAAGTCGACTGTTTGTCCAACCGTTTGCTCATCATATCCTGAATCTAGCTGGCATCTTATGTGAAGGAATGGGGCCCTGGCGCCGTCGTGTACGGGATGGGGTATAGTGACATGATGTCGATTCCTGGCGTCGTCTGCCTCGACATGACCCCGATTCCGAAAACGTCGTGGGGCAAGTTCAAAATGGTGTCAAAGTCGTATATGCACACGTTCCGCAACTTGTTTCGGTGGGCGCCGCACCTGGGCAGTGAATTGACCCAAGAGTACCCGACGTCCAACGACTTGACCGAAGTTCGACGGGAAAAAGGAGCTCAAGAGCGGTTGGAGCGTCCTTCCAAGCCGTAGAAAGAAGAGCCCTCAGGCCATCGTATTAGATAACACCACCACATGGTCCAAGTGTTGTGCGCTGCGTGTGTCGAAACTTAAAGGGTTTCATTCGCTCCACTGACGTGGCCGCTTGTCTGAAGTGTGCGACCTTTTCATAGCTGCGGCTTA